TTTTTTTTATCAATAAAAATACACAAAAAGATACATAACAACTTCTTTTCTCCTCAATTCATACTCTCGCCGCTGCACCTGCAAGCCTCCGTTCCCCGCGGTAGTAGTATACCGTTCCCCCAACCCCTGAGAGGGGAGAACAAGAGTAAAAAAGGATACAAAAACGCAGAAAAAATAAAAAATATAATATAATATAATTTATAAACTATCAATACAGCTAAATCCTCGCATAATACCTGAAAAGTAATTAACACCAACACAAACACACGGGTAGGGGAGTTGTAGTGCGTGTGCACTCCAATGTTTCTGTTCTTTTAGTAGCTCCGCTAGAAGAACATCTCTAATCAGTGTTTAATTAGATAAATATTCAGTTTTATTTTATATTTTTCACCGAGATACTGTAATACTTTAGCGTGGATTCCCGCTCGACGGCCGCCAGCCCCGGCAGTGTAGCGTGGTTTGTTTGCCTGCAGTAAGCACACGAGCCTTCGCTTGGCCTCGGTAGGTTGCAGCTAAGCAAACACAGACGCTCTGTAGGTGTATTCAGAGGTAGAGCATGCAGCAAAGGAAGCTTCGTTGGAGCTGCCACCGAAGCTTCGATGCAGCTTCCCTGTGTGCACGCTTGGGCCTGGCTTGTATCGCCAGCTACAGCCGGTGCGCTCCCACCCCGTCTTACGATGCTTCCTCCCCGCATCACCCAGGCGCTGACATCAACACCGAGGAAGCCTGGGGAGAGGGGAACGAGATCAGCTGCTTTGGGAAACTGTTAAGTCTTTACCTCCATTACAGCTCGCTTCTGTCTTTCATTAAGGCCAGAGAGCAATCGTCATACTTTTGAGTACCGCATGGTTCATAGAACCTGCTCTTCCTAGCATAATACGTGAGTTTTTAGGTTCGGCCGGATCGTTACTAGCTGGCCATACATGCACCGCATGGGGGTCACTCCCGGTACAGCCCCCAGGTCCTTTCGAAGGTACCGGTGAGACCCACAACTTGAGCGTGCAGTCTATCAGCAAACAAAAAGCTGGAAAGAAAAGAAAAGCCGTCAGCTACTGCCTTTGGAAAAAATCCGGTGCTGGCGAAGAAAAAGGCTGAAAGGCGGCGCATATACGCCGACTTCAAGCCCCTCACCAAAATCATGGAAAAGCGAAGACTTCATATGCCCCGTTTCGGCAAGCTGATTGGCCGCTTGCATAGTTCAACAATACATTCATCCGTTGATCGGGCTGATGCGTTTTTGCATATCCCAATTCATCTCGAGGAGAGGCGCAAGACGCATTCGCAGACTAGAGTACACATTTGTGCTTTTGCACTGGTTGATCCAGCTGCAGAATTGTGGCGAAAGATTACTCACGTTGCTTATGCGGAAAGTGAATGATGAATGGACGGATTGGTAGATGGATATATACATAAGTAACTTGCTCGTCTTCAGCCGGATTGTGCAAGAGCGCCAAGAAACCGGGCGCAGTGCTGTACAACTGCGTGAGACTTAGTGGATCATGAAGGCACAAAACTGTTGGTTTCCATACAAACAATCAGCTCCTGAACACAGCTTGCTAAGCGAAGATAGAGGGTATTCGAACGTGCTCGTCACCGCTGTACACTCACGCACGCGTCCAGAAGTTTCTCGGCCCCGCATCGTACTACCACATGTTCAACCCCGTACTCGCTCGCATCGCTGCCCTTCTAACCTATACCAACAAGCGATTGCAGTGGCGGAGCATCTGGAAAGATGACATCTTATGATGCCAATAATCATGAAAAGCACCAAATAATTGCTTGCTGCCTACAAGTTATATGGAAAGATAGCTGTTTCCGGGGTGAGAAAGGTAACTCGATGCGAGCTGGTGGGGAATAAAGAGGTGTCGAGATCACCTATATAGCAGGCGCTTCACCGTTCACGCCATTCATCAGTCCCTGCGCACCCGATGAAGAGTTGTCCAGACTGGTAATGGATGAGTGGTTTGGTTGCTTTGCCGGCTCACGCAGTACGACTTCACGGTCAAGAATATCAAGGGTA